CAGGGCACCTAACACCTATGGAGCGGTGTCAATCATGGTGAAGGAACGGCGCTTCTTCTTGTAGATGGAAGGTTGTCCAAGTTGTGCTCGAAGTTCATCCACTTGCTTCTGGAGGCGTCTCTGAGCCCTCTGAGATGCACACAGTTCTCCTTTGACTTCCTCATCCACTCCCTGCATAGCGTGGACATGCTGCACCGTTGCCTCCAGAGTTGGGTCATTCTCTGGTGGAGCCAAAACCTGCCAAACACCCTCATGATCATTTCGAGGAAGGAACCTGAAGCGGTCCTCCCTCATGGCCTCGAAGCGACGACCATGGTAGTGGATGTAGGCATTCTGTGCCGCATCCTCCATGCCATCCAAAGCATGGGCTCTCCTGGCAGGGGCACAGTGGACAGTCTCCACCTCATGTCCATTAATGATATCGTTCCATGCGGTGACCACCAGCTCTACCTTCCAGAAGGTAGCCTCTAGTGGGTGCTTGTACTCGGCGCAGTGGTAGCTGATGGAGGCGTGCAAGTCGGGGAAGTAGTCGTCCAGCACGTGGGTGAGGAGAGTGTGGTAGTAGGCTGTCTCTGGAGCTGGCTTGAAGTAGTACTTGCACTTCCAGCCAATCTCCTCGTCCTCCACGGGGGCAGCTGGGGAGGGTGCAGGTGTAGGAGAAGTAGCCGTCGACTCCTCAGGTGTAGCTACCACAGGATAGACTGGCACGGCAACTGGTGTAGGAGTAGGTGTAGCCATCTCCTCGTCGTCGGAGATGATCACAATCTCCCTCTCCGCCTGTGGGGCACGCGGGGTGAACATGGCACGATAGCCGGCGGTGCTGAGTCGAGCAGTCTTCGAATTGTGAGACATCTATAGATTTAAAGTGAGATGAAATTAGAATCAACAATTTTAAATAATAGATTAAGGTATGAAAAGCATAAATGTTTTAATAAAATAACAAGAATAAGTCAGTAAGCAAGAAACCAGAGGAGCAAAGATGCTAAAACGACCATTTTCTAAATAGGCTTGCGTCCTACAGTCAACACGGCTTTGATACCAATTTGTCACACCCAATTTTAAGGATAAAATTGAATGCACAAAACTCGTGTGTGCCCAGGAATCAATCACACACACAAGCTGACAAATTACATAAAGTATCATCACGGTGTCTCATACATCAGAGTTATAATAAAACTTAGTCTCATACATCACAGCGGAATACTAAAAAGATAATAAAACTCTCATGGCCGTCATCACAGGGAAGGTCAACTGGTTGACCACAAGCCTAATAATCCTCCCGAAAATCCTCATAGCCGTTGTCATCTGTTACCCATCCGGGATTTTTATCCAAGTAAAGAAAATAAACAAGTGTAAGTACATTCCGTACTTAGCAAGATAACATGGGGTTATGAAGCTCAAAAAGGATAGACTCTGGTTTACTGCAGTTAGCATTTTTAATAGGTCAAGCTTTTATTCTCAAGTATTATCAAGTTATGCTTAAGCTCCCATTTAATTCCCATAAGAACATATATCGGGGTCAAGTGTACCATATATCATCATTGAACAACTTTAAATTATCATCAAGTAACCAGTTATTCTGTGAGTTTTCCGGGCCGCTCGTAACCGTGAGCACGGCTGTTATAACAGTTTGTTACCCTCTGCAGAGGTGGTGCACATTCACCGCGAGTCGTGATCCCCATATGCCCGGGTTAATTACTCCCATGTCACTTCCAAGGTGAGCGGGCAGGGTACACTGTGAAGCCATTTCATAGGTTTCCCTAACAAGTTAGGGCCGCTAGGTTTCCTTGGCAGGCAGATGTATGAACCCCCCTTTCCTATGGCACATATCCATCGCGGCTATACACATAGGAACAGAGGCAGCCCTATACCCAACGTGGCAAGCCCCATTTGCGCCAAAAAGGTAACCTCTAACTAGCTAGAAAAGGTCCTATTACTGAGCTAAAGTCAGAGCCATATGACTCTCCCGGTTGCACTGTCAGTCCCAGCTTTTGTCGACAGATAAGTCCTTATGGAGGGCCGGGAGCAACATGAACAAAGGTCATTTGCACTTTCGCCCTATGGAACAGTTGTTATAAATCATGTTACTCACTTTGTTCCATAGTATCATTCATCAACAGGTATATCAAGTTCAGTTAGAGCACTAGCAATCTACCCATGTGCATTTAACCCATAGGAGACAAGGAACAGGATAAACAATCACTAGGATGTCCTTACGGGTATCAAAATTAGACACATGCAAATGAGTAATTGATTAAAGTGAGATAGGACATCAAGGAAGGCCCGTGTTATACTTGCCTTGGTTCACAAACTCGTGCTGGTCCTGCTGGTCGTCGAAGAGTTCTTGGTCTCCCACGTTTTCCTCACCGTCTGAACGCGATCAACACAGCAACATACAACATTCCAAAAGCATTCATGCAAAGCAAACATTCCTATCATTAGAATAGTACACCAACAGTATTGAAATCAAGATAAAATGTTTGTAAAACTAATCTACGTCTCGCTACGATCACGTCAACGCGAAGTTCACGAAAAACGGAGCTAAAATGCGAAAGTTATGATTTAAACGGGTTTTCCTATAGCCATATATTTAATTAAATCTAATCATGAAATTAAAAAGTTCCAAACTTGACTAACAGTAGCTCCAACATGTAGCTTATGAAATTACGAAGCTAACGCGATTTGAATGGATCAATTCGGAGCTAAAACGACAATTTTATAAGCAAAACAGTTCAAATGGCATTTCTGTAATTACTGAAAACGTATTTTTGACTTAAGCCGTGGAGTTTACGCTTTCCAAACGGGATTGCGCGTTCGGGAAATACGCTTTGGGCTGCGGGTTAGGACTTAGAAAAGTCGAGGACTCTTTAGCAAAATTACCCGAAGGGGTAACTTCTAATCTCGCCGTTGATCTCGCGATGGGCGGCTAGGATCGGCTTTGGGGAGGGACTACCGCGGTATAAAGGTCACCGGCGACCAAAGCGCCATTGCCGGCGGACGTGGAGGTCACGGATCGCATTGCGCAGCTAGGGTCTAGGGTTCACCAAATGGACATCCAAGGGCACCGATGAGCGCGGGGGAAGAAGGGGGGTCGCGGCCATGCCGTTTCGGCGGCTGGGAATGGCGGCTAGCGCGGTGGCCGCCATGGCCGGCGACCATGGCTCGCGGAGCTTGCGGCCAAGGCTCAAGAAGCCAACAAAACGAGAAATAAACTACTCGGGGAGATAGAGGGGAGGACGGCAAAGCTCACCAAGGGGGAAATGGAGATGGAGGCGGCTCGAAGGAGGCTGTCCGCGCGGAGGGGCGGTCGATGGAGCTCGGAGACCTCGGGGCGACGGTTGCGGCCTTCCTCGGTGCTCGGGAAGCGCAAAAACGAGAGCGGCGGTGGCAGCCGGGTGCGCGCGGGGTCGGGCTGCTATTTGAAGCGGCCGAGGCACCAGGGGGGGCGCTCCCAAGACGCCGTTCATGGGCGACGGTTGTGGCCTCGTGGATCGAACCGCAGTGCTGGGTGAGCGGGAGGTTGGGGCGACGCCGAATGTGGGGCTGCATCATCGGCGTGGCACGGGGGGCGGTTGCTGGCGCGGCTGCTGGGCCGAGCGGTTGCTGGGCTGGCGACGCCGAGGCGCGCTGGGCCGGGTCATGGTGGGCTGGGCGGGTCAAGCGCTGGCCGGGCCGAAAGCCTTGGAAAGGGGAGGAAGGGTGAACAGACGCTGTTGTGGAAATGGCTCATGGGCTGTAACCAAGGAAGGGGAGATGATCATTTTCACTTTTTATTTTCCAAACAAATTTTCCCAAAAGCATTTTCAAATAATTTTGATTTCATTTGAACTCTAATTCAAGAACAATCATCACATGAATAAATAGTGCAAGCAAAGATGTATGCATCAAAAGCTTCAAACTTATAATTGATTTTAATTCCCCAAAATTATTAATTTCCTATAATTGAATGCACACTTAATAACATAATTAAATCAAAATTACTTATTTTAAAGAATGAAAAATTTTGGGTGTTACAGTAAGTATCATCTTGAATTATAATAATCCATGTATAAATAAATGTATATTGTCATTACCGTAAATTAGTACAAACATTATCGTAAACCAAGGTAGCTATAGAATAAGTTATTCTGTGGCCACCAGTAGAATAGCCTTACCGTATATATATATATATATATATATATATATATATATATATATATATATATATATATATATGAAGAGTATATTCAGTAGCCACTACAAAATAAGTTATTCTATAGCCACTTCCATTTACGATAATTTTATATACTAATTTACGATAATGTCAATACATATTTATTTATAGTTGAAATTACTATAACATATGGGGATATTTACCATAATGTTATAGTAAACCACTTAGCAATGAGTTACTATAATCTCGTAAATTAACATAGTAATTATCGTAAAGTGGCTACAGAATAAGTTATTTTGTAGCCAGCTACAGGGTAGTAGTCCTCTATATATATATATATATATATATATATATATATATATATATGTATATATCTATGTATGTATATACACACACGATAGTGCCGTTCTACACCCTAGGCCACCGCCGTGGAGATCTAGATGTGAGTTGAGAGAAAATACAAGGATAGAAAAATGACGGATAGATAGGGTGTCAGAGTTATTTATTTGTTGCAAAATTTGGAAGGATAGGAACGTGAATGGCGTAAACTAAATAGAAAAAATTCTGTTCACCCGCCATAAATATCTACTACAACATAGTTGCAGCATGGCATACTACAACATAAGGTCGTGTCTAGGTACTAGTAAATATCAGGAGTTAAGAAATAGTAATTAGTTCACCGGCATACAGCAGCGCTCCGTCAGTGCGTTGAATACTATTTAGCGTGCAGGGAGCTAAAGTATGTGTATGTGTGTGTGTGTGTATATATCATCAATTATACTTGTCATCTATCGTAGTCAGCCTTATGCCGCGCTGACCAAAGTGCAAATTTGATACTATTCCACAGGGTGGTTGACAATTATGACAAGGAGTTTAAGAGAGGGATTTATACGGAAGAGGTCAAAATCATGAGTTTTGTCAGGCGTCAGAAATGGATCGATGAGGCCACGGCCATGTGTCAAAGATTCATGCTGGGTACGGCGTTATTACCCAAGTATATTTTGTTGAGCTGCCTTTTGCTACTGTCCTTCAATGTTGCGCCGTTTGTGAGCCTGGGGATCTCAGTGCGGCGTCTTGTACGACGAGATTATGGCGACGCCGGAGGAGATGTTGCCAACAGAGCAAAACTGAATGCCGCACTGGACATCTTCTATGCTCTAGCTCTGTTGCAGAGTCTATTCGTCGTGTACTGGGTTGCCCTTCAAGTGATGTTAGACGCGTCAGTTTTGGAAGTCACGGCTGTGACGAGCAAACAATATGGAGGTGAAGAATGGAGTTTAACGCTAGTTGATATGTACCGTTCAGAAACAAGAAGGAAGTTTAGGAAGGACGGGGAGCTGCCCGGCAATTGGAACTTCATCAGCTACGGCGTTGAGTTGCTCCAGTCTGCATCTGGGAACGATGACCACCGATGGGGAGCAAGGATACTAGACAAGCTGATCTCTGGCAAGGATAAATCTGTAAGGCAGGAGCTGCTATCTTCCAGGCTCTCTATTCAGAATCTGATGGGCATGATTGGTCGTCGGAGAGGCGCAGCTGATGGTGACATGGAGAACAGAGAGCGCGCCACAACCATTGTTGCACACCTTGCCAGTGACCTCCATATAACAAGCTTCCCGGGTACATTGCAGTGCATTTGTTCCCTACTTGAAAGCACTAGCAGCTGTGACTGTGAACCAAAGTCGCATGCCTGTCCGTCGGGAAATCCTGATGAACAGGCGACACTGCCTACCGATGAAAATGATCATCAGCATGGGTCACTGGAAACATCCGAGCATCAAGACGATGGTACCCACATGGACATGGTAGCGCCCACCATCACAGACCAAACTGACGAGGAACGACAAGCAGTCGTCGTCAGTTCATCATCTTCCGGGTTAGCCGCCAAGAGGAAAAGAAAACAGATTAAGAAAGACTTTGAGGATAATCCCATCATCAGGGTCCGGCAACTAGACAAGGAGCTGAAGAAATATTCTGAATCCAAGTACCGCCGCTCCTATAAATCTAGAGGAGCCAAAGAGCTGATTTCTCAGGGCCTCCTGATTCTTGAGAGGCTCACACAGGACCAAGGGAACTGTACAGAGATAAGTAAGGACCAAAGCCTCCTCTCTAGGATCACGTCACCACTGATGAGAAGCGCAAGCCATGGCGACTTCCTCACCAAGCTGAGCGACAACACAACGGTTGAAATGCTAAGCAAGTCACTCACAGTGCTGAGCAGGCTACTTACCGGTGCTGGAGATGACGTAACAAGGCTGCATCAGAAGCTGGCGAGTAACACAGAAGCTGTCAGCAATCTGATGGGTATCTTGGAGAATGACAGTGAAGGTGCCCAGAAACTGCATGAACAAGCCCTGGAGATCCTGACAGAGTTAGCATTCGATGGTTCTTTCAAAGAACTGGATTTTAACAAGCTTTTCAAGGCCCTGCTACGTATCTTCCTCGAGAAAGAGACTAACAATATTACAAAGCAAGAGCCCAACAATAATGCTACATCTCAAGTGGAACCAGCGGACACAGAGAGAGCACCCAAACTGAGGGGAAATGCAGGGGAAGCACTGGCCAGACTGCTTCCTGTTCGCGCTGCAAGAGGTATAATTTCCAAGCAAGAGGCGATCGACTTATTGAACAAGGTAACTCGCAACCTTTGCCTCTGCATCGCTTGTTATCTTGTTTGCAGTTTCTGAGATGTCACTTAAGCATATTATTATTTCTGTAGGTTCCAAATACTTTCCCCACAGTTCATACGCTGATACGCATTTAGTGTGTTTGGGTCTACATTAGTATCCCTTCCGATCCCAAACATACACCATTTTACTAAGATAAATCCACCCGTTCCAAATTATAGGTCGTTTTGGGTTTTCTGAGTTCATAGATTTTTGTTATGTATCTAGATATAGATTATGTCTAGGTACATAATAAAATCTATATATGTAGAAAGTTAAAATGATTTATAAATTGGAATGGAGGGAGTACTCTGTGATATAGGTTGTTTTCTAGGCAATTTGGTCATCGATAACCATTTAAGCTGCTACCTGATATTGGCATCAGATACACTACACTAGTTCATGAAACCATACTCTCGCACGGCCGGTAGAATCTTAGGAGATATAAACATAAGATGCCATTTTTAATACCTCGACTAATTAAAAATACTTGTATTAATCTGCATGTTTTGTCTCTTCATCATTTTCTAACACAAGACATAATAGATAATTTGTACTCTCTAACTAGTTATGATAAACTTATCAATTCCTAATCAATATTTTTTCATCTATATCTATTTTTTTTTATTTTACACGGCACCTCTGAGCATGAATTTAGTTATAACCTTAACTTAAATAACGGTGGCTCTTATTTCAGCACATATCTTATGACATCATGAATTTAAATTTTAATTATCAAATTTAATCTATACATATTTTTTATCCTCAAGTTAAGTTAATACTTGTATCCTCATTGTATCTTTTATTATGTTCTTTAGTATTTTTTAAAATAAGGTTTTAGATCATAGATTACACTCTTGAGTACTAAGATGGTATAACATTGCTCAAGATTAGTGGTAGAGCTTGAAGTGAGATTTAGAATAATGTTGCAGTGCTAAAATTAAGAGGATATTAATTTAAGTCTTATAATGACTTGTTATTCCAAAGAAATCTCAAATGCCAAGAAGATTATAGCCACCTGTAGTCCGCATTAACCTCTCCACTTCTCCAGATGTTTGAATTTTCTTATGAAGGAATTATATGTGCAGTAATAGTTTTAACATCAATAAAGATATGTCAAATATTTTAGTTAAAATGTAAAAATAGATCTAAATTTCTATGGCTATTAATATTGTTTTAAACACTTCGTTGGTATCATTAGTATATTAGGGGTTTATTTTGAATTATGTTTCATAATGGCAGGTGTAGGCAATTTAGATGAAAATCTAGGGGGTTATGACATAGATGGGTAATTTATATACAAATTTAGAGTGTTCTTGAATTATCTTTCATAATAGCAGAGGAGGGTAATTTTGATACAAATTTGGGTTTTACTTAATGTATTTTTCATAATGGTAAATGTGAGTATTTTTTATAAAACAGAATAGATGTAATGGCTATCATTGGCGATGATGATTAGATCGTACTAAATTAAAGACCAGATGTATTTTATTATTGCAATAATTTCTAGCCGCTTTTGGTGAGAATTAACATAGAGGCTCTGTTAGGACCTCTAGTTAGTAATAGTAGTATGCATACGAAACTACAAGGGTCATCTTAATTTGTTCAAATAATCCATTAACTCCTCTCAATAATTTACGTACAGATAAAATGTCATGCTTGTTTCACTAGGGATGAATTGCATCAATCTGTATCATGTATGATACGATCGTAGTATTGCTGATCATTTGTATTAAATTATGTTTCTTGCAGGTTCTCCATAAAATACTATCTAGTAAAATGGGAACAACTGCAGATGCGGTAGAGATTGTCGTGAAAACCAGCCCCAAGAAGATGCAGACACTGACAGTGTACAGCCTCCCATTCAGGAAAATGAAAAGCAATCTGAAGAAAGAAAATTTATGGCAGCCATGTTATCCCTCGCCGTGGTGATATGCAACGAAAATATGATCAGTAAAGAAGATTTTGCTTGTGCCACCCCTCGAGATGGAGCAGTGGCAAAGAAGCTCAAGGAAATATTACAAGTAAACAAACAGAGCACGGCTCAGTGTTTGAGGATAGTGAAGCTTACCTGCCAGGTGGTTATAGTCATGATTGAAGTGAAACCCAGATGCATCGCACATTTCAATGAACACAATTTCAAGGGAACACTGGCGAGGCATTGGAAACCATGTCGGAGGTTGATGACTGCATGCTCTTTGCTGGGAATGAATGTGAGGTGATCAAGCCTGCGAGGTCTCTTACTTCTCTTGTGAAGGAAGCACATGAACTCCTGAAGACAGCATAAGAACAGGGCAACTGGTATGTCTGAATGATCAAGGGGACATCGTTAAGTATATATATTATTGTTATCAATATCTGAATGGAACCTGGACGTGCATATCGTGCTTCTGAAACCCTCCGGTGCCTAATAGAGTGGTTCTGGGTTTGATGTGCGTAGGTATTTGTTTGAGGCGAGCTCCCTCTTATTTATAGTACTGTGGATCCGGGGCCGATCCAAAAAAGACTTGCCTAATATATTAGGCACTAGTTTTGGTGGATTTATTACTTGTGTACAAATAAGTTAACATGTTGGCTGAGATCACGTTCGAACATGTACTTGTTAGCTGAGACGACCTCATTCTCAATTCCTGTTTCTTTTGACATTTTTGCTTCAATTCTCCACAGACATTACAAGGGCACGGTGTCACCACTCTTTATTGAAGGCTAGTTGCTATTAGGCCAAACGAAATTGTGCTGGTCTGTCCTTCAAGAATGACTGGGCGTCGAGCCGTTGAGCAGACCGTGGATACAATACATCAGACATCTTGAACCTAATAAGTGAATCGAAAGTGAACGGGTCAACAGGTGCTGAAGATTTCACCTCTTGGTTACACACAGAAAGAGGCATCATCACTCAGCTTCAAGTTTTAAATAATGTGAGAAGGCCTCACAAAAAAAACGAGGCAAAAAAAAACAAAAATTCTTCCCCGAGTGCCTTCCCTGGCACTCGGCAAAGAGGCCTTTTCCTGAGCGCCAGGACAGGGCACTCGGGGAAGGCAGCTTCTTCCCCGAGTGCCCTGTTCTGGCACTCGGGAAAGGGCCTCTTCCCCGAGTGCCAGGGAAGACACTCGGGGAAGAATTTTTTTTTAAGTTTTAACGGCGTGGGCGGGGGGACCGTCAAGTAACATGTTTCTTTGCCGAGTGCCGATCTTCCCCGAGTGTTGCACTCGGGGAAGAGGGCCTTTGCCGAGTGCTGCTCTTTACCGAGTGCCAAGATCCCTGCGGCACTCGGGAAAGCCTCTCTTCCCCGAGTGCAATTCTTCCCCGAGTGCAACACTCGGGGAAGATTCTCTTTCCCGAGTGCCCGATTTTTGGCACTCGGGGAAGCCAGCGACACTCGGGGAATTTTGCCTCTCCCGTAGTGCCTGTTACTCCATGCTGAAATTTAGCTAAAGTAACCTAGACACAGGATTATTTCCAACATTCATCACTCTACTGTTGTTTGAATCCTTTGCAGTGCTTGAATTTCTACAGCTGCTGGTTTACTGGACGACCATTTGTGGCAAAGTGTATTTGGCTTGTCACTCTGTCAGAGTCGAGAGCAGCAAGCACTGAACAGTGAAGAGACTCCTAGCAATATTTTTATAGGATCGGTGCATCCATCTCAAACAAATATTACTACTGGTTTGGTCAAGAAAATGAATGCAACTGGCAAAACAAGCTTCAGATGTACTCGTTATTTGAATCAGAGCGCTACAATCCCAGTCGATCCTATTTCAGTACGTTCTCCCATGTAAAACCTTGGACTGGGAAACTGATAGAGTTGCCTGCAGAAGTGAAGGAGGCACTGCTCCAGTCCCTTGAACGTACTCAAGGTTTCCTTACAAATGCGGAATCATCACTGCTGTCCAGTGGAGCAGGTGACCTTTTGTGGGCTTGCAGGCATGACGAGATGAAGCTAGAATCTGGCACAAGCAGCGCCCAGGAAAGGGACAATAATCTGCAGGTGCATGTTATTTTGACTTGGCACGTTGCAACAGGTTACTGTGAAATAGGAGCAAATGCCCAAGGAAAACTCAACAGCCATCTTGACATTCTGACAAAACTGTCCAAGTACTGTGCATACTTTAGTGGCTTCTGCACCAAAGCTTCTTCCTGGGAATTACTATGGCACATCCTGTGTATTTCGGGCAACCCATTATCATATTTCTCTGCAATTTCATGATGCCACTTTATCTAAAGGCCCGACCAAGTCATAAAATGCAAAGCAAGAGTCCCATTACGTTGCCAAAGGCGGTGTCAAGGCCTTAAACTGCTAAGCCCATTTGCACCGGTCAGTCGAAGCTCTACACTTTTTTCTCTCTAGAATGCCAGCGTGGAAAAGCAAGGCCCAAAGATGAGTCTGAAATTCTCCTCCATTTGCCAGGTGCTCGATATGAGCTTTTACATTGTGTGATGGAGCTATGAATAGTATCATCTCAGTCTAGAAATCTGCTAGTATCTTCCAGCGGATGTCATCTCCTATCTCTTCAAGCTTCCTTCCAAGCAGGATCCCTTTAATCAAAATTCGGTCATGATCAGACTGCTGTTCCTTATAATGCTTCATCCACACGTATTTTGCATGCAATGTAGTGTCTTTAGACAACATATTATGTGCTTCAAGTCTCACCTCCTGACATGTGATTCTGGTATCTAATTCTTCGTCAGGCAGCAGCTCTGGGACAAATGCCATCAGATATGCACAGTAACTTGATAGTGTTGTGGAAATAGTACGATCGGGAACTGAACCATCTACTTCGTTTCCATCTGATGTTGCAATATCACAATATTCAGTCGCGACTGTTAGATTGATCTCTAACCCCAAACTGGGCCCAACGGCCCAGTTGGGCCTTTGATCCGCGCTCTGATCGGAGGCGCCCAACCCACTATGGCTGGAGGCCCCCTGTCACACTACGCAATATATAGAGGTGGGGGCCGGTGGCTCTGAGTACGAGGTTCGCCTGAGCCGAGCTCCTCACCGAAACCTAAACCCTAATCCCGATCAGAGAGGGGCGCAGCCAGTGACGGGAAGCCACCAGCCGCGCCGCCCCGCTCCACCGACGTCGACGACTTCATCGACCTCTTCCCCGAACGTCACTGCCCATGCGCAGACTTCACCAACGAACGAGATGGTGGCTTCTGGACCATCTCCCTCTGCGGTGTCAGGTTCGACATGTTCTTCTCCCTTCCCTCTCTGTCTCTCTAGTTCTACATGTATTAGGATGCGCTGCATCTTTTATCCCGAATAGAACCACTCTACCGGCTAGATCTATGCTCCTAATGATCCTATATAACTAACAATGGTACCGGAGCCGGGTTGTCAGTGTGTAGATCTAGTATGGGGTAGAGAATTGAAAAGACATCAAAGAGTAATAGAGGGTTCGATCCGGTTCGGATTGAAACCCTAACCCTAATCGGGGGAAGAAACAGAAAGACAGAGGGTCACCGAACCCTAACCCTAATAGGGTGAAGGAAAGGAGTAAGAAGAAGGACTCGGTTCAAGAAGAACCCGAATCCGAGCACAAACCCAGGAAGAACTCGCTGGGGAAGGTGAATAGTGACTCCAATGAGTCAAACCCTAACCCTAATCCCCAATCGGATGAAATCCGAGAAGAACTAAGAAAGAAAAATCCAATCAAAGGAGAAATAGGGAAGGGGAAACGGTATACTTCACCATGTACCGCGCTGCCGCCTCGTCGGAGCGCGAGAAGAAGGGTAGAGCCGCCAGGCGCGTGCTCTGGCCAAGGGCGCCGTGGCTAGGCCGCTCGATAGCGGTGTGCTCACCCGCTGGGGAGCGCGCGCGCCGGCGAAGGGGCGGCGACGGCGCCATCATTGCCTCGCCTCGCTCTCCGTCGTCGTGGGGCTGAGAGAGAGAGAAGGTGGAGAAGAGGCCGGTCATATCTAGGGTTTCGGCTACTCCTCACCGTAGAGCGCGTGGGCATCAGGGCACCGCTGCCCAGACCGCTCGACGGCGGCGTGCTCACCCGCTGGGGAGCGCGCATGCCGGCGACGGCACCATCTTCGCGCTCGTCTTCGCTCGGTTGCTGCTCGCTGCGCTAAGGAGAGAGGCGAAGAGAGAGAAAGGGCAGAAGAGAATGCCGCTAGGGTTTCAGCGGAGGCACTGAGGTCGCCGTTTTGATCTGGCGACGCGCGCGGACGGCCGTCGTATTTCATCCAACGACTGGAACGTCATCGGACCGAATTGAGCCCAAGCGGGAGCGCGCAGCGGGCCACTTTGCCGGCCCAGGCCCAGGTTGCGGCCTGGGAGGCGCCGCGGGCGCGCGCGGAGGTAGTTGGGCCGGGCCGTTTTGCCGGCTGGGCTGAAGAACAGTGTTCAGTTTGAATCAATTTTTGTTTTTCTTTTTCCAGTAAAAGTTTTATTTCCTGGAAAATGGATAAATGGCTTAAAGAAAATAGAAAAGAGAATTTTCCTGTGGGTAAAATTCATTAAATTGAATTATTTTTCCGCTGTAATGTTAAAGTTAATGATCTTCTAATTAAATTCGAACCAACGGGAGAATTTAATTTGAAGAGTAGTCAATTTGAATCAGTAAATTATAATATTGTTATTTTTCTGATCAACATTGATAATAGCAATATTATAAGGTTTAATCATAAGTTTTCAATGCATTAATTCTATTTCTGCCCAACGATGATGTAGAATTAGTGTATAAGAACAGTTGTATGTTTTAATTTTGACCAACGTTGGAATCAAGGCATGCAATTGTTGTTATTATTTATGTTCTCACTCTATGAATTGTGTTTTCAAGCGGATACAACTTGATGGGTTGTATCAAAGAGATCCCCACTCTTAAAGGTGACAACTACACGGAGTGGAAGAAAAAGATTGACCTGGCTTTCATCTTGGCTGAGGTGGACTAGGTAGTCACCTCACCGTGTCCTACTGAGCC